CAGGACTAAACCAGAACTGAACCAGGACTAAACCAGGTCTAAACCAGGACCAGACCAGAACTGAACCAGGACTAAGCTAGGTCCTAACCAGGACTAAACCAGGACTAAACTTTGACTTGAGAGAGGGAGGGAGAAGACTGAGCCCTTTCTGGTTTAGTCCTGGTTCAGTCCTGGTTATTCATTTAAACACAAAATCGGAAACTGAAAAAAATAAAAAAAAAAAAAAAAATCATTATCTGCTTTTTCATTTTGGTTCTGGAGAAAAATAATGAAGAAAATCGTTGTTTTTTCATTTTCTATTTTTGGTTTTATTTTGAAAAACGGATGAACGAGTGATACATGGATTCCATATTAGTGTATTTTCTCATCTATGTCCTATAATGTTTCCTCATCACAAACACTTACAGCTGTGTTTAGTTTAATTCAAACATGTTTAATACACAAACCCTGCATATTTAGGCTGTCATGTGGTAATACAGGATGTGCTCCACTGTGTTTTTAAACTCCACACACCTTCACTAGAATCATTTGGATGATTTCAGCTGTGAAATCTCCAATCTCTACTGAACTAAAGTTAAACTGTAGCTGTTAACTTGAAATGCTTTTCTCCGTGATGTTATTGCTTTGTCGGAAATGTTTCACAGTGTGGCATTAAACCTTTCTATCTTCATGGAGACCGAACCAGACCAAGTTACAGGTCAGATCTGTGGAGAGGCGACGCCGCTCACCGTCAGAATGTCTATTTTCTAGGTATTTTTGAGCTATAAAACCAACTGTAACTGAATAAATGTAAAGTAGAACTGTTTAATGTCATACTGTGGAACATTCCAGCCAAAGCAATGTCATCTCCATAGAAACAAACAGGTGAAAAGTTACACATTGCACCTTTAAAGCTCACAAGAATCCAACGTGTGCAATACAGGGCCTTTAAAATGATCTACTTGTGTTTTTCACTTTCATTTTTAAGACCGTAAAAACCCGACACATCTCCCTCTCTCTCGTGTCGGTGTTAAACCCGGGCACCGTCTCACCCGCTGTGCCCGTAGCGCCGCAGCGGTGCCGTGTGCATGTGCAGGTGTGCTCCCAGCGTGTTGCCATGGTGCCCCGCGACATGCCAAGTGACCAGCAGGGGGCGCTCATTCATGCTCCGCCCCCCCACCGTCCTCCTTCTCTGCCTTTGATTCGAACCTTGGCGCCCGGGCCCTTCTCTCCAGCCGGGAGCGTGTTGTTCCTGACAGACCTGATAACGCGCGGGGAGCGGACGCTAAATCAAACTGAAAACATCATTTGAGGCTTTGAGGCTTTGAGGCTTTGATGCTAACTGTAAGCACTGCTCTGTTTGAGGCTTAGACTTTAATCTGAGCTTTGTTTTAACACAATCTGACCGGAAAGAACTGACATAGCTGGAACTACAAAACATGAGCTGATAAGTGATGTTAAACAAATCTCACACAAACAAAATTTCGCCAATAGTGTTTCAGTTTGTCACTCTCACCTTTTTGTTGAAAACTCCTAAACAGACCCATGAACTGACTGATCACGGGCTCCTGAAAATGTGCTTTTTAAATCAATTTTGTGTTTTTTCTTGAGTTTTTAGACAATCTTTATACATTTTTGACTGCGTTTGCTAATGTGTGTGTTCTGTCACGATGGTAACTGCTGAACATTCTACCATACAGAACACCTCCAGCCTGGTGTCACTGAAAAGTATCAATGCCGTGGAGTATTTCAGGCAAAGCAAAACCATTTTTAATGAAACAAATACACACTACAAGCATGTTTTGTTTTTGTTTAGTGATTTTATTGTGTTTTAATAATGATACTGTGATTTTATATAGATTTTTATAGTGATTTTGTAATGACTTCATAGTGATGTAATAATGGTTTTATAGTGATTTTATAATGATTTTACTGTGATCTAATAATGATTTTATAGTGATTTAAATAATGATTTCATAATGATTGATTTTATACTAATTCTATTGTGATTTGATAATGTTTTTACAGTGAATTAATAATGATTTCACAGTGACTTTATAATGATTTTCCAGTGATTTAATAATGATTTTACACTGATTTTAATAATGATTTTATAGTGATTTTATAATGATTTTACAGTGACTATAATAATTTTATTGTGATTTTATAGTGATTGTATAATGATTTTACAGTGATTTAATAATTATTTTACAGTGATTTTATAATGATTTTATAGTGATTTTACAGTGGTTTTATAATGACTTCTTATAGTGATTTTATAGTGATTTTTATAGTGATTTTATAGTGATTTTTATAGTGATTCCATAATGATTTTATAGTGATTTCACAGAGACGAGCATTGTTTATTGTTCGTGACCAGCCCGTGAACCCTCCCTGTAGCGCACCTGTCAGAATGCTTTAAGCACCACAGGCTTTCAGCTCCTAGCAACAGTTCAGTTTACGGTCAGACATTTTCAGACTCATCCCTCTAAAAGCATCCAATTGGAAGTACGATGTCCGTCCGAGAACCAGGAAGTGCGTTGTTAGCATGCTAGTTGTTGTTGGCATTGTAAAAGTCCACTCTGGTGTCTGGAAGTTGTGAAAAGTGCTTAATAAAATAATAAGCGGTGAGTAATTTGGATGACTGCAAACTGTTTGAAATGAAATAGTTCTGTTTTTCAATTTTTCAAGACAAAATCAGTCAAAATCAGGCACAGCGCCTTTAATATTCAAGGCCAAAATGGGGCCGTTTGTGATTGATATACTATATTATTATTATTAGTCCTGCTAACAGTTTTTAATAACCACACTTAACTCATTATGAACAAATTGAAGATGATTCACGCTTAGTAACCACTTAATTATGGGGAGTTTTGTTATTAAAGAACACAGATTATGCAAAATGTTCTCAGCTGCTTTCAGTAAATCTCTGTTAAAAAAAAAAAAAAAAAGATAGTACTTTGCGTCAGAGCCTCGCAAAACACTTTTCTTTTCTTAATTAAATTTATTCCATATATACAAACATACATAGATAGAAAACAGATGAATAATATTCACAAAGATAACATTAAATAGGGTTAATTAAATGATTTAGATTGATTTAGCCTCAGTTTGAAAATTCCCAGGATTGTGACGTCACAGATAGAGACCCTGTTCAGTTTTTAGACAAATAAATCATTGCCAGACTTGTTTTAAAGATGGATTGTGCCACTTTTCCGATGGAGGGCCTACCAAATACTATTCTCCATGGAGATATTATTGCTGTATCTGGAATGTCTCACAGTATGGAGTCAAAATCTTCATGGAGACCAAACCAGATCAAGTTACAGGTCAGATCTGTGGAGTGGCAGACCTGCTCAAAGTCAGAATGCCTGTTTTTCTAGAAGCAACCACCAAACAGTTACACAGTGCACCTTTAAGCCCTTTTCTTTCTTTTCTTTATGTTTTAAGGCCATTTAAAGTGTAGTTTTTTGTTGTCGCTGTTGTTTTTAATTTAAAACAAGGACACTGCACACACACAGATTACATTGTTCTACAAGAAAGGAGACGCTCTGTGCCAGATTTAGTTATCAACTCCTTTCTATCTGCCGTCCTTGGGCAGGTACAAAAGACTTTAAAGGGACTATTTACATAAAAGCAATTCTGACAACAAAATTTCATCAAAAGCAATGTCTCAGTCTTATTCCTATAAAATGCAAACATTTCAGTTGCATCATAAGTACCAAAGTCGATGGAGCCAGAAGCGCAACCATGTTAGTGCGTTAGTTGATTTGTAAATACAGTCTATGGCTCAAATGGAATGGACATGCTCGGAGAATTCTATGTAGGAGCCTCATGTCTAAAAAAAAATTGTTGTAAACTTTAAAGGGCCAATATTTCGCTATTTATAATGTATTATATATTATTATAATTTTATAATGTTGTTTCCTCATCACAAACAGACCTGGAGTTGTGTTTTGTTTCATTCACACATGTTTAACACACAAACCCTGCATATTCAGGCTGAGTTCTTCTCTCAAACTGAAAACACTCTGTTCCACCTTGTGATGTCATGTGGTAACACGTACAGGAAGTGCTCCATGTGTGGTTTTCAACTCCATACACCTTCACTAGAATCATTTGGATCATTTCAGCCCTGAAACTGCCAATCTCTACTGAACTAAAGATAAAAGGAGATGTTAACTTGAAAACTAACATGACATCACAAAAGGAGTGTGCAATAATAGGAACTCTGCAATGATTGGAACTGTGTTATGAGTAGAGTGTGCAATAATGGGAAATGTGTAACAATTGGAACGTGCAATAATGGGAACTGTGCAATAATGGGAACTGTATAATGAGTGGAGTGTGGAATAATGGAAACTGTGCAATAACGGGAACTGTAATGAGTGGAGTGTGCAATAATGGGATCTGTAATGAGTGGAGTGTGCAATAATGGCAACTCTGTAATGAGTGGAGTGTGCAATAATGGGAACTCTGTAATGAGTGGAGTGTGCAATAATGGAAACTCTGTAATGAGTGGAGTGTGCAATAATGGGAACTCTGTAATGAGTGGAGTGTGCAATAATGGGAACTATGTAATGAGTGGAGTGTGCAATAATGGAAACTGTGCAATGAGTGGAGTGTGCAATAACAGGAACTGTGCAATAATGGGGACTGTGTATTGAGTGGAGTGTGCAGTATTTTCTTGTTTAGCCCCCTGTGTCACGTTTGTTCATTAACATGCTTTGTCCCAATCAAATAAATAAATAAATAAATCACAAGGTAGAACAGAGCATTTTGAACTTTCAACATGTAGACTTGTAAGACTAATAATAAAGAATTATTCAAACGCATGAATGAAACAAAACTCCAGGCAAGTTTTTGATGAGGTAACAACATTATAACATGGCTTAAAGCTCACAAGAGTCGATTGTGCGTAACAAAGACCTTTTAACTGGTCAATATGTCAATAAATATGCCGGTAGTTATTATGAAATGGTGCCAATTTCCCTGCGGTGAACTTTTTTTTCCTCTCTCAGCTCGGCAGGCCTGACCCTCCCCGCCCCGTACTACCGCCCGGAGGAGGACGACGAGAGGCCCTTCATCTGCTCGCTGGCGTCGGAGAACGGGATCATGTCGTGTACGGACGTGCCCGCTCGGAGGGAGGGGGGCCGGACCTGCTGCCTGGACAAAGAGGACGCCCTCCACAGGCAGGCGCTGGGGCTGAGTCCGGAACCCGTGGCCAACGCGAGCGCCGGAGAAGCTCTGGGCCTGTGCATCAACTGGAACCAGTACTACACGCGATGCCATACGGGGAACACCAACCCACACAAGGGCGCCATCAACTTTGACAACATCGTGTACGCTTGGATAGTCATTTTTCAGGTATGGGTTTTGTTAGAATTGTTTATTATGATGTGGAGGTTGTAGTACTTTTCTCCGTGGAGCTGTTATTGCTTTGTCTAGAATGTTTCACAGTATGGCTTTAAACCTTTCTATCTTCACGGAAACCAAACCAGGCCATATCTTTGCTGTATATTTTTTTGACACTATTTCTAAAACTGTCCCACTTGTTGTTGCAGGTGATCACTCTGGAGGGCTGGGTGGAGATCATGTACTACGTGATGGACGCTCACTCCTTCTACAACTTCATCTACTTCATACTACTCATCATTGTAAGTACTTATACTTGTACTGCAACTTTATATACGTCATACCAGGCCCTATTGCACTTTCACTACAACTTGCAACATATACTTTTACTACGTACTCAACTTCTTCTCTCAGAGGCTAAGAAAAGTGGGACGTAGTTAGTACTTGGATGGAAGACGTCTGGGAATACCAGGTGCCACAGGGGGGCGCCTGTGGCAAAAATTGTCGTTGTGTCTTTAAGCAAAGAACTTCATCTACATTGTCTAGAATATAGTAGGTGCGTGAGTGGTCAGTACCTGATAGTGAGCGATCAGTACCCAGTAGTGAGTGGTCAGTACTAGGTCTGTCGAGATAACCGCAAAAAGGAATCACCATGGTACTAAGAGGCCCACTGCAGTACATGTTGGGCCACCACGATCACAGCACTTGTCCCGTTGGAGAGACCCGCACCTGCCCAGACCCGTTAACATTCCACCCATTACCGGCCGTGTCCATGATAACCCAGGACTAACCCAGAACTAACCCAGGACTAACCCAGGATAAGGTGCGCCCACTTAGACTGTCAGTTGACTGCAGATGAAAGGACCGGCGTAAAGCTCCGTGCCGCACGGAGGTAAGTGCAGCCTGCTTTGTGTGCTCGGGGTTCTCTCTCTTTTAAGTCCGCGGGTACCTGACCTGGTGCAGGACTCTGACCCAAGCTGCCACAGTGAGAGCTGGAGAGATGCAGCGGCACTTGTTCCAGAGCCAAATGTTACTTCTCCAACACCACACACGCTATATCCACACGACAAGCGCATCATCGGAGAGAGTTTTCAGTGCTGCTGGAAATATTGTAACTCCGGGGGATGTGGAGTGGGGGATGGGGTGCGATATCACCGCATACCGCACTATTGAGCTGCTTTACCGCACCGCAGGAGAAATTCCCAAAGCGCAGCAGCCCTAGTCAGTACCCAATAGTTAGTGGTCAGTACCCAGTAGTCTTTTCAGTCAAAATAAAAATGATCAGAATCAGAGATGCGTGAGGGAGTGTGGGTTTTTTCGGAAGGTTCAATGCGTGTCCTAAAAAGAAGCACAGGAGATGGAGAATCCAAGAGAACAGGCCACTTTATTTCAGCATTTCCATTGAGAGAGATTCAAGTTGATTACCAAGTACAACTGCCACCCCGGAACGACGTCTCTGACCAACTCAAAATCAGGGGTAGCCTTATACTACATCTTGACAAAACATTAACTTGTTGATTTAGCATATACAGCAAGAAAATGAACAATACTGCTGACCCAGTCCACCTTATCATGTGTGGGAACATGCCACGGGGTCCACATATGTCAGTTTTTCTGCTTCGTGGCATCTCAAAGTCCAGAAAAACATGTTCTTTATGGCACTTAAAGTACAGAAAAAACATGTTATATAGACCTATAGATAGTCATACGTGTTTTCCACCCTGTTGTCATTCCAAAGTCCATAATATTGGGTGAATTAGCATGACCAATACATAATATTTCCCACAGGAGAGAAGGAAGAAAAGAAAAAACATCAGAGTTTAGATAAAACACTGTCATAACATTTTCACACAATTGGGTTTTTTAGCAGTCGATTCATTTTATAATTTTCCTGGGTTAGTGAAGGGTTAATTGACTAAATTTGAGCAAAATGAAGTGAGCACCACAAATGAAAGAAACGCAAAAGCAAAGCAGTTGGTTTGGGTTTGGGAAGATTTTTTTTTTTTTTTTTTTAATATGCAAAAAAAATAAATAATAATAATCACATTAACATTTCCTATTATTATTCCAGCCCTGAAGCTTGAAATTATCTGAAATTTATCTGCAAAATGTTAACAAAATACATTCAACAGGATAACAGCTCTTTATTAAGTTGCGGGTTTGGATCCTGGCTCCAACCATTTGCCATTTTGTAAAACCATAGCAACCAAGGAATAGAAAACTGTAAAGCTGAATAGCAAGAGAAATCTTCCGGGAGACCCAAAATAACCACATACAGAGAAAAATATATTGTTTTTGGTAACACTTAGGACAAAGTATCAAAATAAATCCGCCAAAAGGTCGTCAGGGCAGAGAAAAAACATATGCGTGAGATTAAAAGGTGATCCCCCACACTTGTCACAAACGTCCATCTCAGTGAAGTGTCTTGCTTAAGGACACAACAACAGTAGACAAAACCAGTAGCAGGCATCAAAACACTGTGTTAATGATGAGTAGATAAACATTATAGACGTTATAGCGTTTAGCTCCAGTCAAATGAAGCTCACTGAGGCGCCAGTTCCATGTTGTGAATAGAGATACAGTCACTCTGGCACATTCTGTTACAGTTTGGTGAAATGTCTTGCCCAAGGACACAACAGCAGTGCGTAATAGTGCCAGTTCGCGTTTATTCCGAAGGCTGAACAGGGTTTGCTCACCTGACACCGTGCACCCTTCAGGCGCCCATCAAAAGCTGCGTGTGATCTCTCCCACACTCACCTTGTCTCGCATTCACTCCCTACACTTCTTTTTCTCCGTCGAACTCGTGACCGCGAGTCCATTGAACTTTTAAGTGCGAGTTTGTTGAACTCTCGGGAGTCGGCGTAGAGGTGCGAAAGCTACCATCAGCTCCCGTCGTCAGGTGCAAAAGACACGTCTGACCCTGCCGCGGTTCAGTAAGAAAATAGCCTGTCTGGCTTTGTCGCGCTGGTCGTCGGTGCAGTTTGAGAGGAAAGGTTAAAGGCGTCGTACGTGATTTTTTAAAACATGAAAAACAGAACTAATGAATATGAAATGGTGGGGTCCTCGCTTACTTTATGCGTTCAGAGCATCGTGATTATTCAAGTTTATAAGTGCCTTTCACAACTTTCAGAGGCCAGTGTGGAGTTTTGCCACGATCATAAAGTATGACGTACGAAAGCTTTTATTTGTGTGGAAATTCATGCATATTTGCGAAATCTGTGCATATTGTTGAGCATAAAATAAATATGAGTGAACTCTTGAATGACTCCAGTCGTACATAAAACGTGTTGTGTGTATTTTATCCATCAGAATACGAATTGAAAAGTTACGACATCAAGAATCATAATCATGAAATGAAAATTTACGATTACACTTTCTTTAGTATGAACATGAATTCACAGATGCGACTTGACTGTCAAAAATATGTCATCACTTTACAAGCATTATTTATTGAGCAGAAGAAACATCGATCGAGCTGGACTTTCGCGACGCATATGGATTAGAGATGCGCGGATGGCGGTTACAGCTACAGACTCTGCAGCTGTAACTCCGGATCGGGCGGATGACGTGACGAAAAATTGTATTTTAATTAAATTCGGGAGGGTGGCAGCTTAACTACTCAAATAAAAAACTCTTAGAGGAGACTGAGCGGATGGCGGGCGGGTGCGGGTTTAAAAATTGGTCGAAAACCGTGGGTGCAAATGGATAGAGGAAGGATGATGAGTTTTGTGATGTGGTTGCGGAAGAAAAAATTCATCTGCGCACTTCTAATATGGACTGAACCAGGAGGACTAAACCAAGACTGAACTAGGACTAAAACAGGACTAAACCTTATTTTATGCTCAGCTACAGCTAAATATTTACAGATTTCTATTCTGCACATGTGAATATTTCCGAAAGCATTTGTACTCCATAGCACCCGCAGGCAAACGTCCTATTTGGAACACTAAGCCCATTTATATTTACAGTCTGTGGTTTATGGTAGTTTTTATGCCAAAATCCTTACTGTTTTGAGAGATTCTGTCAGTGCCACACTGTACACACTTTATTCAGTTTTTCAATAATATAACATTGTTTTTCGTCGAACGATCAAACTCTTATTTCTTTTAACTTCTAAGATGCCATGTTTTGATCTAAATGGACCAAAACGGAATAGTCTGAGCACTGACCCCTTTAATGCAGGACAATAATGCCACTGGGCTCCCACAGTGCACACACACACACACACACACACACACACACACACACACACACACACACACACACACACACACACACACACACCGAGAGAAATAGTGCAGGGAAATCAAAGCGTTCACACCTGCTAACCTCCACTGACCTCTGCACCACATTTGGACATCTCCTCCTCCAATTCTCTTTCTCCCATTCTCTCTCTTCCTCAGCCCATTTTCTGTAGTCTCTCTCCCCTCTCTTCTCCTCACCTCACTCTCTCGCCTCTCTTTCTCTCTTATTCTCCAGCTGTCCCTCTTTCTTCTCACCCTCCTTTGTCTCTTCTCTCTCTTTCCTGTCCATCTCTTCTCTCTCTGTCCCTCCTCTTTTTCTCTCGCTCTTGGATCTCTCTCCTGCTCTCTCTCCATCCTCTCTCTCTCTTTCCCGCTTGAATCTCTCTCCTGCTCTCTCTCTCTCTCTCTCTCTTCATCTTCTCTCTCCTGCTCTCTCTCCATCCTCTCTCTCTCTTTCCCGCTTGAATCTCTCTCCTGCTCTCTCTCCTTATCGTATTTCTCTCCCTCTCTCTCTCCCTTCTCTCTTTCTCTTTCCCCTTCTGTCTCTCTCTCCTGCTCTTTCTCCATTCTCTCTCTCTCCTTATCGTATTTCTCTCCCGTTCTCTCTTTCTCTTTCCCTCTTGAATTTCTCTCCTGCTCTCTCTCTCCTTGTCGTATCTCTCTTCTGCTCTCTCTCCATTCTCTCTCTTCCTTCTCTCTTTCTCTTTCCCTCTTAAATCTCTCTCCTGCTCTCTCTCCATTCTCTCTCTTCCTTCTCTCTCTTCTCTCTCTTCCCCTCTTAAATCTCTCTCCTGCTCTCTCCATTCTCTCTCTCTCTCCTTATCGTATTTCTCTCCCTCTCTCTCTCCCTTCTCTCTTTTTCTTTCCCCTTCTCTCTCTCTCCTGCTCTTTCTCCATTCTCTCTCTCTCCTTATCGTATTTCTCTCCCGTTCTCTCTTTCTCTTTCCCTCTTGATTTTCTCTCCTGCTCTCTCTCCATTCTCTCTCTCTCCCCTTATCGTATCTCTCTCCTGCTCTCTCTTCATTCTCTCTCTTCCTTCTCTCTTTCTCTTTCCCTCT